GTCCCAACTTCTTGAATTCAAATTTCTCATCCCTAGAACTAGTTTTGGTAAATCGCTTCTGCATTCTCTCCAATGAGTTCACACCCGTTCTGTAATGTGGCAGGTAAAATTCTAGCTTAGGTCTAATAAATGAGTAAAACCAGTAGCAAATCCCAGAACCTGGCGAGAGAGCACAGACTGTAGGTACAGGGAAGGACATATGTAGGTACAGTGTGTGAAGCATTGCAGTGACTACCATGACAAAGGCTGGTTGCTACAACAGATTAACAGCAAATACACCTGTGCACCTCTCACCAGTCCCATTTCCCACAATAGGTTTTGCACATAATTGACAGTTACAGCTTTGTATACATAAATCAGGCTATTGCCCAATCACTAGTGCCATATTTTTATGTTTAAGAAGTAGCTACCTTTGATAAAGCTAATTAACTTTTCATATAATGGAGAGCTATAACCACTGGTATAAATCATTCCTTTTTTATACTTTTTTAGTATTCTTCAAGGGTCCCCGTAGGAAAAAAGCACCATCAGAATGACACAAATTACTATGAAAACAAAGGCGTTTGTTTATATGTGAGGATAACAGAGACATACTCATTCGGTAGGCTTTGCAGATCTGATAATTAGAAGAGTTTGTTTGTCATCTTGGCTCAAACAATACTCAGTCTGTGAATCAGAGGGTTTTTAAGATCTAGCCCAACTACGTGACTGTATAATACTGAAGCAGTTAGTGTCAAACAATTTGGGGTATCTTGAGGACAGTCTACTATAGATGCAGATTTTCCAATTTATGAAACATGCCTCCAGCTAAAAGTACGTGTTTTCCAGCTGTCTTTGGTAGTTTAATTACAGCTTCAGACACAGGAAGTAATTATGACCCAAAAATACTTCCACAAGAGTTTGCAGTGTGTACATCTATAAGCTCAAAATGTATGAATAAATTTAAAGGATGGTTCTATGCTCTTTAAGAAAATAGCCATGCACTTGGATGGTACCATATCAAGGGGCCAGATGAGCAACTCTGAAAGTTTCATGTTAATGTTTGTAATGTTGCACATTAGAAAATTGATGTGCGTAATTTCCTGCCAAAACAGGATTTCCATTTCTAAATAAATTTCTTGACATTCTTTTTGTTAGTAAAATGACAGATGTGATATGCGGCTGTTACAGTCTCCAAATATAGCATGAAGGTTGGCTGTAATAAATGTATTCTATACTATCCCAACTTCAAGCTGCTCTCCTTAAAATTAATTTGTGATGGGAAAGCTTAGAGAAAAACCTGTAGAATGGGGAGAGAGGAATGCATCATCCTAAAGCATCTGTTTAGCATATGGACCCTGCAGTGTGAAGTACCAGTTAAAACAGGTTCATTATGGCAAAATTTTAGTGTCAGGAGAATCTGTAATTTTGATTTTTTTTTCTTGCCTCTCTCAAATTGGTGGCCCCTGAAAACCAACCTTAGGAAAGCTCATCCTTTGCTGCCAGCGATCACCTAACCCTCCATGCTTCTTCAAAAAGTCATCGGGTTTTACATCATGAAGACAGACCCATCATTTCCATTCTGGTCATCAGGCCCCTACCTATCCAGATCAATTCTCCAGCATTTTTTTTTTCATTTGTGGGATGTGGGCGTCGCTGGCTGGCCAGCATTTCTTGCCCATCCTTAGTTGCCCTTGAGAAGGTGGTGGTGGGCTGCCTTTTTGAACCGCTGCAGTCCTCCTGCTGTGGGTTGACCCACAATGCCATTAGGGAGAGAATTCCAGGTTTTTGACCCACCGACAGGGAAGGAGCGGCGATACATTTCCAAGTCAGGATGGTGAGTGACTTGGAGAGGAACTTGGAGGTGATGGTGTTCCCATATATATGCTGCCCTTGTCCTTCTAGATGGAAGTGGTCATGGGTTTGGAATGTGCTGTCTGAGGATCTTTGGTGAATTTCTGCAGTGCATCTTGTAGATAGTACACACTCTGCTACTGAGTGTCGGTGGTGGAGGGAGTGAATGCTTGTGGATGTAGTGCCAATCAAACGGGCTGTTTTGTCCTGGATGGTGTCAAGCTTCTTGAGTGTTGTTGGGGCTGCACTCATCGAGGCAAGTGGGGAGTATTCCATCACACTCCTGACTTGTGCCTTGTAGATGGTGAACAGGCTTTGAGGAGTCAGGAGGTGAGTTACTTGCCGCAGTATTCCCAGCTTCTGGCCTGCTGTTGTAGCCACTCTGTTAATGTGGTGAGTCCAGTTGAGTTTCTGGTCAATGGTAATCCCCAGGATGTTGATAGTGGGGGATTCAGTGATGGTAACACCATTGAATGTCAAGGGGCGGTGGTTAGATTGTCTCTTCTTAGTGATGGTCATAACCTATACCTGTGGCACTTCAATTGATCATCTAAATACTTCTTAAATGTTGTGATGGTTCCCACCTCTACTATTCTTTAAGTTCCAGATATGTACCACCTCTGAGTGAAAATTTCTTCCTTAAGTCTCCAGTAAACATCCTGCCCATCTATGCCCACTAGTTATTGATCCCCCTAAGGGGAAATATTTATTCCTCCTTCTCTGTTTCTCATAATTTTGTGGACCCCAACCAGGTTCCCCTCTCAGCATTCCCTGCTCTAAGGAAAACAATTCTGGCCTATCCAGCCTCTCATCGTAGCTGAACCACTCCAGCCCAGGCAATATCCAGGTGAATTTTCTCTATACCCCCTCCACTGCAATCACATCCTTCCTATAGTACAGTGACCAAAACTACACACAGTACTCCAGGTGTGGCCTAACTAATGTCTTGCATAGCTCCATCATAATCGAACCCTATCCTTGCATTCAATGCCTTGGTTAATATAGGCAAGTATCTCATACGCTGCGGTTTCTTTCGAGCACCTCAGTATTTTTCCATCCATTATATCTCCCTTTCTAATCCTTGTTATTTGTTCATTGCCTTGAATTAGTTTCATTATTGAAGTGTACTCCTTTCTCATTTCTCACCTTCCTTCGTCTTTAAATAAGGATTTTGATTGTTTCAACCATCACTTCCAATTCTTCCTCTTCTCACCTTTAACTTAGTTGTCTTCTTTCTTCCCTTCTTGTAACTTGCTCAGTTCACAGCTTCGGCTATCATATTGACCTTGTCTTCTCCCAAGACCTGTCTTTACCCATGATCTTGAGGCTAAAATTGACTAATTCCTTGCCTTTTCCTTTATTACTACATCTCTCTATCCTCCTCCAACCCTAATTTTCTGCTGCGATCTCTATTAGATCCCTCACAAACTCCGTGAAATTAGGGAGTGGATGGTATCGCAGTAGTATCAATACACAAGTAATCCAGTCATGCATGAAGCAAGTTGTGAGAAAATTAGTTCAAATCCAACCACAGCAACTGGTGAAATTTGAATTTCATTAATAAAATAAATCTTGTGATTAAAAGCTAAACCATCGGAAATAGTAAAACTATTATTGTTTGTTGTAAAGACCCATCTACTTCACTAACATTTTTTTAGGGAAGGAAATCTGTCATCCTTCCTTGGGCTGGCCTACATGAGATTCCAGATCCACAGCAAGTGGTTGATTCTTACCCTCTAAAGCCCTCTCTAATATGGCCTTGAATACCACTCAGTTGTATTAAACTGCAAAAAGAAAGTAACCAGGCAGTCAACTATGCATTGACCTAGGCACTCGCAAGACACTGGCAAGCCCAGCCTCCTAACTAACAGCTGGGGGCATTTGCTAAAATTAGGAAAGTGTTCCAGCAGACTAATCAAACAGCCTGATATAGTAACGCTCATGGAATTTTACCTTATGGAAAATATCCTAGATATTACTATCACCATCCCTGGGTTTATTCTGTCCCATCAGTAAGGCATATCAAACAAAGGTGGTGGCGCAGCAGTATACAATTGGGAAGGAGCTGCCCTGGGAGTCCTCAATATTGACGCTGGATCCCATGAAGTCTTGTGGCATCAGGTCTGGAAGTAAACCTCCTGCTGATTACCATGTATCACCCCATCTCAGTTGATGAATCTGTTCTTGTCTATGATTGTACACGACTTGGAGGAAGCACAGAGGGTAACGAGGGTACAGAGTGTGGGATATTTGGTGGGATTCTCCACTGTCCATCACCAAAAGTGACTCATCGAGAGCTAGTGGAGTCCTAAATGACACAGCTGCCAGACTGGGTCTGTGATGAGGGAGCTAACAAGAAGAAAAAGCATACTTGACCTCATCCTCATCAGTCTATCTCTCACAGGTCCATTTGTCCATGACAGTATTGATAGAAGTGACCACACTCAACATCCTTGTGGTGGTGTGGTTCTGACCTCACGCTGAGGATATTCCATTGTGTTATGAGGCACAAATATCGTAGCAAAAGATATAGATTTCAAACAGATCTAGCAACTCAAAACTGGACACCCAAGAGATTGTAGGCCATTGACAGTAGCTGAGTTGGATTCAACCATAATCTGTAACTTCATGGTCTGGCATATGCCCTTTCCTCCATTGTCATCATGTTGAGGGACCAATCCTCGTTCAATGAAGAGTGCAGGAGGGCATGCCAGGAGCATCACTAGGCATAGCTAAAAATGAGGTGTCAAACTGGTGAAGTTATGACACAAGACTACCTACAAGCCAAAAACCATTCCCAGCATGCAATAGACAGAGCTTAGTGACTGAGCGCGGCATCAAGGAGCCCTAGCAATACTGGAGTCAATGGCTATCAAAGGGAAAAGTCTCCACTGGTTGAAGTCATACCTAACACAAAGGAAGATGGTTGTGGTTGTCAAGACTGATATTATTCATTCAACACTAGCATTTTTAACAGTCAGCACCTATCTGGTTTGATGACATTTTGGGACAGAAATGAAACAATATGTCACAAAACTTCTTTACTACTTTTCTGTTGATAAGCCAAGAAGAATATATTTATGATCTTGGCCGGTGTGATTCTGAACTGTTGGATTTTGATATCTTTGTAAATGTTGATTTTGTGACCTTTCTTAATAAAAATACAGATAACCTTGAATTAGGATTTACTGAACTACTGAAAATGGAGATGAATCCAACAGAAGAAGAAAATGAAAATCTGAATGAAGTGAGGAACAGAGAATCACAACAATGTTGTGCGTGGTGTCAAAAGGTGCATACAACAGTGTCTAATTGGATGCTCCCTGAAGACATGAGAAGTCGCTATTTGGAAAGGGCAACTTGCTTTCCTCCACCGATCTTCATTATCTCTATAAGTTTGGCTGAGGTATAGTTTACATTTACGCTAAAATAATGTAACCTTTAGTGCACGACTTGAACAGGTAAATTCTTCATTTTGCAAATAAGATGTTTTTCTAAGAGTTCACATTTTGGCTCTGATTGGGACTGGCCAGATGGACTAAAATTACTTCACATTGTCCTTTATGTTTCTGTGTTTGTACTTCTGAGATGCAACATCACGACATTATATCCAGTGATATCCTTTGTTATTCACCAGTAATCAGAATTATAAAAAGGAGCAACCAACATCAAAATCTGTCCATTAAAGGATAAGAAGATAAATGGTAGTGATCCAGCTTCAGTATTTAGCTAATGAACAAGCATCTCCAGCAATACTTAAAACAAAAAGATGCTAGAAATATTCAGCAGGTCTGGCAGCATCTGAGGAGAGAGAAATAGAGTTAATTTTTTAGGTCAATGACCTTCCATCAAAAGTGGAGGTCTGGCTGAAAAGTGAGTCTGAATGGATAGCTGACCAAACATGAGGAAGGAAATAGGAACCAATGAGGATGAACAAGATAAAAGAAACAAAGAGAAACATAGAGCAGAAATTCTTATAGGTGGGAATAGCTAGAAGTGGCAGTGAATTAATTATCTAATATGGAAGCAAAATACTGCAGATGCTGGAAATAAGAAATTAAAACTGAAAATGTTGTCCAGGAGATCTGTGGAGAGGAACAGAGTTGTTTTAAGTAATTGTATCTGTTTCAATTTCTGATTAATAGATTCTACAATATTTTCCTTAGAGTCATAGAATCCTTACAGTGTGGAAACAGGCCCTTCGGCCCAACAAGTCCACACCCACCCAGACCCATCCCCCTATAACCCACCTAATCTACACATCCCTGAACACTACGGGTAATTTAGCATGGCCAATCCACCTAGCCTGCACATCTTTGGACTGTGGGAGGAAACCAGAGCACCCAGAGGAAACCCACACAGACACAGGGAGAATGTGCAAACTCCACACAGACAGTCACCCGAGGCTGAAATCAAACCCAGGTCCCTGGCGCTGTGAGGCAGCAGTGCTGACCACTGAGCCACCGTGACACCCAGAACATACAACCACCCAGCTGCTTCCACTGAAGTGGGACTTTGGCATTCCTGTAGTGTGGAACCTGAAGAGGAGAGCAAATCTAAACTTTATAGATTAATTTGGATAGCCAGGATGCACATATGGATATGATCCTTGCCGAAATTTGGAGATGTTTTGGTTGGGGTGCAGGGCAATTGTGAAGAACCCTTAGGAGGGTCTCAGGTATCCTTTGAGATTTTTGAATTATTAACAGTAGAGCAAACTGTGCTGATAAAGGTGTATAAACCCCTTGGGACTGTAGAGCTTCAAAGAAGGGTCAAACTTGTCAAGAACTATCAAGAAATGTCTATATGAATGAGAGTGCTTTCCTCAGTACAGTGTAGTCTATAATATAGAACTTTAACTAATGGGACATTTTTTATCCTGTGCACATAGTTATTAATGGAATTCTAGGTGGTTCAGCATGCTGGGTGAAAGAGGAAAGGGTACAATAATGAGATGTCATCAGCTGGCAGTAAATGGCAGAAAGTGGGGAATGGCTACAGAGGCCATAAATTGGTATGGGGCCACTGGGGGAATGGATGGATGGCATTGGATGGCATAGATTGGCATGGACAGGGCATGTGTAGGGGTGAGGGGTGAGGATTAGAGGAATATTTTATATCTTTTTCCTTTTAACTTTTTGGCTTATCTGGAAAGCAAGCTTTCTACCCAGCCATCTCAAAATCTGGCACCATCTTGAGCTCTTCCTGGGTTGCCCAGTCTGAATTCCGTGCCATCTGACTCTATATACTTGACCTGTGAAAATAAATTGGGGTCAATGACTCCTATTCATAACAAATAACTTTTTCCAACTTTTGTATAATGCAATACAACTTTGTTGAGGGATTTATAAAATCTTGTATGTAGTCCACGATATGATTTTCACCTTGGCTTTGTGCTTTGATTTTCATGCTGTTCTATATAGGGAGCCCCTGTAAAAATTCAAGCATCTCAGCAGGACCTATGCCTCAACTTATGAAAGACAGTACTCAATATCCAACATTCAGAAATATTATGTTGGTAAATTCACCAATATAGAAAAATATAGCAACTGAATAATAGGACCTTTACACCCTTGGACACCCACATAGAATCCTAGGATCTGGAGAACCATTGTTCAAAAATGTATATTATAGAGATTGTGATATGCAGACAATTGGTCCCTTTGAAATAGTCTTTTCTTTTACTGTTGTAGAGATCTAGAGGTTGACATCTCTGTAGAAAATCCTTAGAGTCAAGAAACAATATTGCAAAACACAAATGCCTTTTGGAGGGTGGTGTAAAAGATAATTTAAAAATACACAATAAAAAGCATTTTGAGAAATGAAAACAACTTGTGTGGGAATTTTAAATATGAGAATTTATTTCAGTTGTGCAGAACAATACAGTGGCTCAGCATTTTGCCTTCAACTTCTGAAGTTGCTGAAAAGAATGTGAAGAGTGTGAAGAATGTGAAGAATATTTCTGCTATAGTTGTTTAGGGTAGCCTGATTTGGTTGAGATATTTTGCAATTACTTACACTATTTTACCTGTAAAGCATTTACAACTAAAAGTATTTCAGTGACAATTGTGTTTCCATGCATAAAACTGGCACAGCAGTGCAGTTTATTGCTGAGCGTATCCTACAGTGTTATTTAAAATAGATAATTTGACTTACCATGATTTAAGAAATCTATCACTCACTTTTGCAGAATAAAACACAAATAAAACTTTGGGTGGAATCTTAGAGGGGTCTGAGCAATGTGGGCTATGGTGAGATATGTGGCAGAATCACATGAGAAGTCCAGCAAGGCCCATCTCGACATCAGGAGCATTTCATGTCTTCTTTTATGCAACTGCTGTGTGTGGAGGTGAGTTTCTCACTAGACAGTGGCGAGTTGCCAGTTAAGGGGGATTATTGCTTGTCCAACGCCTTGTTAGCAGTCCAAGTCACCTCATTAATAATAAGCTTTCTATCTTACAAAATGCATCAAACAAGCTTGACATTGAGAAATCTCGACATGGGAATCAAAGCTGGTATGTAGCTACTCCAGCTCACCACTTCCTCCAAAGGAAGGAATTGGACGCAGGGCACCAACATCTCAGGGCATGCTCAGTGGATACTGGCCACACATCCCATATTCATGGTCATTAGCTGCTGACATGCACCAAATTCAATGAATCCACATTGCACATCTCTAATTCACGTATAGGATGATTCCTCATTTTGTGCTGCAGTGGTAGGTATCATTGTAAAGCTGCTGCAAGGACACCGTGCACTCAGGAACATGAGGCAGCTCATGGACTGGACCAGGCTTCACCTCTGGGTTCTTTGCTCACTGTCAAAGTGCTCACTCACTCTGAGCCTACCTGGATGCTCACATCATCACTGCTTTGCCTTTGCACACTTTGCCCACTCAGCCAGAGCTATCAGGCTCATATTATTGGTACCTTACTTTGCCATTTAGTGGAGACACAAAGGCAGGAAGTTTGTCATGGTTGTCAGCAGGTCTTAGTCAAGTCAAGGGAGATGACCTTCGCTCAGGAGGTTCTAACACAGTAAGTCAAGTGCAGCCTCTAATACTAATCCAGGAGTTTGAGATGGTCAGTCAGCTACTCATAGTCAGGATGCTGTCCATAAAACTGGTGAGAAACCAAATGACAGGCAGTCCACCTGGACTCTTTCTGCCCTATTATGGCCTACCTGCCTCTTGAAATGAGAGACAGGCAGGTATTATTGGATATGAAGTGTGTAGTGGCACAGCTGTTACTTTTCTGTCCAGGTGGGGAAATGTGAGTGAGTAAGCAGCTCTGAGGTGTGTGGGGATAGGGGCATCCTTGGAGTTGGAGTGGGTGACAGCAAGTGGGGAAGACGTTGCAGGCAATAATGAGGTAACAAGCCTTTGTGGGAAGTGTATACAGTAGCAGAGATAAAGTGAGTGGGAGGCATCAGAGAGAAGACGGTGGGCTCTTAGGAGTGGAGAACAAAGCTGACCTCCTTCCTACAAGTGCTGACCATTTCTCCAGATGGCCGAGACTTCTCTAACGTGGGTAACAACCTCAGACCAGGCTCCTATGGTCTACTGTCATGGGGAAGAAGGAAATCCTACCTCTGCACCAGCCCATCTAGAATGACTTCTGAGTCCCTGTCTGCAAAGCAGGCTGCTAATTATCCCAGTATGCCCTGTGGAAGTGTCAAGAACTGTGCAGGACACCTCCAGAGTGACAGTGCTTGTCTGGGTGCCCAATTAGCTTTTAAAGATCACACGGGTGTGAGGAATTCCAGTGTGCCCAGGGATATCCTGTCAGTGATGAGCATCCTGGGAATGGCGTGTGATAAAGCGAGATTGAAATCAGATGAGAAGGACATGAGAAGGAAGGGTTGGGTAGGTATTTAATGAGCCACATTTGGTACGATATGGTGAGAAACATTTCCAAAAAACTCAATGCAACTCACACTTAGCCAAAAAAGTACGATTCAGTCCACAAACCAGTGAATTGACAAAGAAGCCAAATTTATTTCAAATGATCTCACAAATAGTTGCATGTTGCCAAAGTTGGATAATGCGAGAGAGGTCTATTGCTACAAAATTCATTGGGCTTGAAATGCAAGAGCAAAACCTGAGCATGAATTCCAGTTATATTGTTGCCCAGTTTCTCCTCTGACCTAACAAGGTGTGGAGCTGGAGGAACACAGCAGGCCAGGCAGCATCAGAGGAGCAGGAAAGCTGACGTTTCGGGTCGGGACCCTTCTTCAGAAGTGGGGAAGGGGAGGGGAACTAAGAAATAAATGAGGCTGGGGGTGGGAGATTTTGAAACTGGTAAAATCTATGTTTAGGCCATTGGGCTGTAGGGTCTCAAGGTGGAGTATGAGGGGCTGCTCCTCCAGTTTTCGCGTGGCATCATTGTGACACTGGAGGAGGCCCAGGATGGGCATGTCACCCAGGAAGTGGGAGGGGTAGTTAAAATATTTCAAGATTAAAATGTAGACAAGGTGTGTGGGGATAGTGGCATTGTTGGAGTTGGAGTGGGTGACAGTTGTCTACTGCATCTGCTACACCTGATGTGGCCTCCTCTACGTCGGTGAGACCAAGCGGAGACTTGGAGACCATTTTGTAGAGCAACTGCACTCTGCACATGACAAACAACAACACCTTCCGGTCGCAAAACATTTTAACTCCCCCTCCCACTCCCTGGGTGACATGTCCATCCTGGGCCTCCTCCAGTGTCACAATGACACCACCCGCAAACTGGAGGAGCAACACCCCGTATTCTGCCTCGGGAGCCTACAGCCCGATGGCCTAAACATGGATTTTACCAGTTTCAAAATCTCCCCATCCCCGGCCTCATCCCATGACCAACCCTCCCTCTTACCCCCACCTCCTTGATCCTACACAACCTCTCCATCTTCTCTCCCACCTATCCGCCACTCCCACCTCACTGACTAATCCCCACTAGTCCCTACCTGCACTCACCTATCACCATCCTACCTACTTTCCCCAGCCCCACCCCTGCTCTCTATTTATTTCTGAGCTCCCCTTCCCCTCCCCATTTCTGAAGAAGGGTCCCGACCCGAAACGTCAGCTTTCCCGCTCCTCTGATGCTGCCTGGCCTGCTGTGTTCTTCCAGCTCCACACTGTCTAAACTTTGACTCCAGCATCTGCAGTTCTTGCCAGTCTCCTCTGACCTGTTGTGGCAGGAGCAGTGGAACGACAGTGAGGGCTTTTGCTTCTTCCTAATTATCCCACTCATTCACCACGTGGGCAATTATCAGGAAGTGATTGCTTTCCACTTTGTAGTTGGCTGGATGTATTAAGGTTGGTCATGGAAGGGAAATGTAGATCAGTTTTCCACCATTGGCACACACTACTGTAAAATGAAAATAAAGAGAAAACGAGAACAAAATGAGGCTGTTTTAAAAGAAAACTACCTATAATTTCCCTTAGTGGCCTAGAATGCCTCTTGGTGTCACATGAGATCTGATTTTTGGATTCAGTTGTACAAATATACAAATACTGGATCTCTGACTGGTACAAAAAGTCAAATCACCCCACCCATCACTTTGTAGGAATTCCTCATCCCTTCAAAGTACAGCAAATTTACCTTGACATTGACTAAATTATTTACCTCATTTTATTTTACAGCTGGCTATTTTTATTTACTATGCAGTCTGGAAGCCTCAGAAGCAATGGATTACCTTGGACACAGGGGTATTGGAAAGTCCATTCATATATAGGCCAGACAAAAGACAGGAAGCTTGGAGATTTGTTTCATACATGCTAGTGCATGCTGGGTAAGTGTTTCTTACGCAAATAGCGCAGAAAATATCTGGAATTGGACCTCAATAATAATTAGCTTCTAGCGTAACCTTTTAAAAACAAGTGACCATCACAATGACAAGTACCATATGACACACTGAGCTATTACCAATGAAATTAGCTGGCTGCTGTCATCTGTGGAAATAGAGGCGCATTACAAATTGCTTCCCTGTCGACAGCTAGGGAGAGAAGATAAGATATTCAATGTTCTGTTCAAGTGGAAGTAAGTTTGAGTGTGACAACTGTTCTTTAAATAATTGTATAGCTTGTATATGTTTGCAATAAAAGACTGTACTGTTGTGAAAAAATGTATAAGTAACATTGGGCTTTATTGGTTGTTGAATTATTATAAGTTTTGCTGTTATATCTCTACCAACAATAATCTACCAATTTGTACGCTTGGTAGACAAACTGCATATCTTGTGCCTATTTGTTGTGGAAGAATTAACTTCCTGTTTGATTGCACTGAAGTATTATGACTTAACATTTATCTGGGTTTTGATTATTGAAGTAAAACTCATGTTCACTCTGATTTCACCTTCATTGGCGTGATCCATTTCTCGCACTGCACAGTCATGTGTAATCAAATCTTTCCAACATATTGAGATAAAGATCCTGAACATCTATGAAATCTGGCCAAACAATTCCTTATCTAGAAAAGGACCCTGTAAGTAAAATATGAAATGCACGAAACATGCTGTAGTGAAGGACGACTTTGCTGTCTGGAACCATGAATGGCCAGGGGTTTGCCCAAACACATTGGAGTGAGAATCAAAGCATGTTTGTAGCAGCAAAGATATCTTCTGGATACAAGGTTGACTAGGATCACTTCACTGCTGTCTCCACCATATGTTCATCATTGATCAAAAAAGCTGTCAAGTTGTTGAAATGCATATCTACAAATATCTGGAAATAATCTGTTCACTTTTGTGTCTGCAGTGTCCAGCACATTATAGGGAACCTAGTTATGCAACTTATTCTGGGAATTCCATTAGAGTTGGTTCACAAAGGTCATCGGGTTGGGCTGGTCTATCTTGCAGGGGTAATTGCAGGTAAGTTAATTTTACAGTTTCAAGATCCTTTTAGATGGCATTCCAAATGATGGGATTAACATTGAGGAATAATTTTGCTTTAGGAGAGAGGGTAAAATAGGCTTTTGGAAGGACATCAGGACGAAGATTTCGCACGAGTACTCACACACTAATTCATGGTGTATCTGTGTGAGTAGTGTTGTATGCTATCCATTTGCAATGTAATTTATATGTGGGTGCCTCCACATCATGCCAAACTTGTTTGAACATTTCCAAATCTAACTTGGAATAGCTACTTTTGGAGAAACTTACACTTACTGCCTGCAGTGTAACTGTCACTTTACACCTCCTTCTCTAATTCTTGGAAATAGTTCATTTCTTTCTATAAACATTTGAAAATTGTACCTTCAGTATTAACAATCTGATGCCACACAACGGATGGAAAAGGGTTGCGTTAAACCGTCAAAAATATAAAATGTGACTGTGACCTACCGCCCATGCTGATATTCGATTTCCGAGTATCTCCTCATGGGGAGGGTATTCTATCATTAATATATCAGACTTTTACAATGCAATTGCAAGCCTGATGTCAAATTAACTGCTGCTTAACAGGTTTCCAAGACAGTGGGAAAACTCAGCAGTGAAACTGTGGCAAGAACGAGAGGCACTTGCACAATGAAGGTTCAATGTGCAAGCTGTTTTCTCATTTCACTGTGGGAAATGGTATGCAGGAGCACTTCTTATGAAAGCTGTATTTGTACAATGTGAAAATGATTTTATTTTTCCCAGAAGTATACTTTGTTTATACAGTTTTAGTAAGTATATGTATAACATTTCAAGTTTGACACTTCATAACAGAATCACAGAGCAGAAGGAGGCCCTTCAGCCCATCATGTCTGCACCAACTCTCCAAATGAGTAATTCATTTAGTGATACTTTCCTACCTTCTCTCTGCAACCATGCATTCTTCCTTCTCAGATAGTAACCTCATGTCATTTCAAATATTTGAATGCCTCCAGTAGAGCATTAGACAGTGCATTGCAGACCTTAAAGTGTAATGTGGTTGAATAACTTTCAATGAAGTATGAGAAGTTTGACCTCACTTACAGCTTTATGATATGTACTGCTTGTATGGGGATATTTGCAGAGAACATTATGGTGGATGACGCTGTGGCTGATTTAGACTGGGCTTTGAATCAGGAAGAGCCCAAGCCTCATCAAGTCACACTCTGGAGGGAACTGTGGGTGAACAGGAGAGAAGGAAACAAAAGGGGGAGTTGAGATTTTTAGGATGCAATTAATCACCAAACACACCTAATATGATTTACAGGATAGAGACGTAGCTTCCTTGACCTCTTGGAGGAACAGTGCTTTCAATATTTGAGGTTCTCATTTCAGAAACAGACTCCAACCTTTCTTGACCTGGCATTTGCATATGGTTGTGAAAGTCATCACAATCCTCAATTTTATTTGCCTTGATTCCTTCTAGGGAACCATGAGAACCATAGCAAAAGTCTTGCATTCAGTGACACAAAGATGTAAGAAAGGTAATTGATGGACTGTTTGCAAGGTTAGAAGTTGTGTAACCTTCCCCTGTGGTAACAATAGCCAAAATGTGTGGACATTCGGAATCAGGTCTCTGATTGATCTCCCACAAGTGCAGGATGTGATTGATGTGCAACATGCTGTAACAAATACTGAGAATGCTGGAGAAATTCAATAGGTCTGGCAGCATTTGTGGAAAGAGAAAGAGAGTTAACACTTTCAAGTGCAGTATGACTTCTTCAGAATTCTGCTTGACCAGCTGGGTTTCTCCAGCATTTTCTGTGTTTCTTTCAGATTTCCACAAATATTTTGATTTCATTTCAGCATGTAACTTGCTGTGTTAAACCTACCTTACAAGCTGGTGTATGTGACTTGTACACCTCACATCTCAGAGATTGTATAGGAGCTCTTATTATTTTATTAAACCAAGTTTCTGTAAGTTAGTAATAACTTCGCATTCAATCAAAATCGGCCTTATACTTACCGTTCCTAAAACAGGAGCTTCTTGTGTTGTGTGTTGCAGCAATAGACTGGATGTAATAAGATTAATCATTTGGACTTTATGGCTTAGATTCTTAGCAGAAATGGAGGAGGCGGGAACCACATGAAAAATGCCTGCCTAAATATAGGCTCATTCAAACATTATCTAAAAATCTTGATGTTTATCCTGGCCTTTAAATAATTGCAAGCTGGAACATATTTGTGCCCAGTGTACAACTTTGTGTTGGATTATGGAGTGGTTGATTGTCCTTTTTAAAGCGGTTAAGGATTCAATACAATCAATTGCACAGGCTTGGGTGTCACTTCTTAAAAATTAAAATATGGCTGAGCGTGCAATGCTGTAATAAGCCACTGATGTCCATCTCCAGATGCCTTTCCCCACAAGGTGGGGCCGAACGATTCTTAGGCCAGAAATCAGCCTGGCTCAAGGGGACATCTCTGTGACTGTCCAATTTTGACTACAATTCATGTCTAGTGGTTTAACAGTCAAGTGGAGAATTCAAGCACATATGTACAGTACTTTCGTCAATTGGCAATTGTGCTTTATACGCTTTAGTGTGCAGCGCGTATTTATGCACATGAGAACATGACCAGAGTGATAAAGGGGAGAGTTGTATCAACTAAGACGGTATGTTTAGAATTGTGATCAGACTAAACTTCTGTAATTGAGAGCTGTTAGCTCTGGTAACTTATGTTGAGCTAAGTTGAAATATTTCATGTTCTTGACTTGATGTTGGACAAGGAAACTTATGTTCTGTTTCCTGTTTTTCTTTTGTTGCAGGCTCATTGGCTAGCTCAATATTTGATCCAATGCTTCAACTAGTTGGAGCTTCAGGTGGAGGCTATGCTCTAATGGGAGGCTACTTTATGAATGCATTAGTGGTAAGTGGTTAGAATTAACTAATATTTCATTCACGTTGCTTGTCAGTGCTTTGGAGAACAGAGAGGGAATCAGTAGAAAAATGTTTTTAACAAATTAATGTATGTTTTTTACTTAAAGTGCCTTTTTTTTATTTAAAACATTCTTACCTGGATTATATTTTGGCAATGATGTAGGAACCAGGACATAACACCAGAGAATGCTGCCAAGGTGCACAGAAAATTGGGAAGACACTTTGTATTAAACAGAAAATAGTACGTTATTAGCTGGTGTCAGAATAGGAAGGAAGGTAATAACATCTAAGTTGGGTTTGCATCTTATGCGAATGTTGTTGAGCTGGAGGTATCCACATGGAAGTATAATATTATGGTAATAATGGATAATGGCCTCATAGGGTGGGGCAGGGTATGAAATATTCCCAAATACAATTTGTTCAGAAATGATAGAGAAGAAGGAAAAAGAGGAGGAGAAGCGGCAGTATTTATTAACATTAATATTAAATATTGAGTATTAAGAGAATGTCCCAGAGGAAGTTTGAGCTAAGGAACAAAAAGGATACAATTGTATTGCTTGGCTTGATCTATAGACTATCAACCTTGGGAATGATGTATAGAAGCAAATTTGCAAGCAAATTCGAGACAAGTGTAAGAATTTTTAATGGCTGACTTTAATTATCAGAATATAGAACACAAGAAGACAGTGAGAGACTATACAGCCGATCGAGCCTGCTCCACTATTCTTTATGATGTCTGATCTTCAGCTTTGACTGTACTTCCCCACCACTCCCCATGTCTCTTGATTCCCTAAGGGGTCAGGCGTCTCTCTATCACAGCCTAAAATGTGAAGCTTCCACAACTCTTTCAGGTAGAAAATAACAAATCAAGAGCAGAAAGTTTTCCTCTTCTCAGTTTTAAATAATTGACACATTATCCTAAAGTTGTGATTCATTTTCTCAATTCCCAGCAGCACACACAATCTTTCAGTGCCAACTCCATCAAGCCCCTTCAGAATCTTGAATGTTTCAATGATATCGCCTAACATTTTTATAAATTCAAGATAGTATAGGTCCTAGGGCAGCACAGTGGCTCAGTGGTTAGCACTGTTGCCTCACAGCACCAGGGGCCTGGGTTTGATTCCAGCCTCAGGCGACTGTCTGTGTGGAGTTTGCACATTCTCCCATGTCTGCGTGGGTTTCCTCCGGGTGCTCTGGTTTCTTCCCATGGTACAAAGATGTGCAGATTAGATGGATTGCCATGGTAAGTGTGAGTTACCAGGAAAGGGCAGGGGGCTGGGTCTGGGTGGGAGGGTCTTTGGAGGGTCGTTGCAGACTCAATGGGCCAAATGGCCTCCTTCCACACTATAGAGATTCTATTGTACGATACTAAGTTACTCATCTCTCAACCTAGGCCAATCCTTTCAGTCCAGGGACCAATCCAGTGAAGCTTCACTGTTTTATACAATGGCAGGACCCTTAGGAGCATTGATATACAGAGGGATCTAGGGGTGCAAGTTCATAGTTCCCTGCAGGTGGACAAGGTGGTAGAGAACGTGTCTGGCATGCTTGCTGTCATTGGTTGGGGAGTTGAGTATAAAAGATGGCAAGTCACGTTGCACCTGTTGCACTTTAATTAGGCCAGATTTGGAGCACTGTGTGTAGTTCTGGTCATCACACTGTAGGAAAGCTATGGAGGCTTCGGAGAGGGTGCTAAAGGATGTTGCCTGGATTGGTGTGTATTAGCTATAGGGAAATGTTGGACAAACTTGGATTGCTTTCACTAGAGCATTGGAGGCCGAGAGGGCGACCTGATGGGAGTATACAAAATTATGAGCGACATGGATAGAGTAGATATTCGGACTATTTTTCCCAGGCTGGAAATGTCAAGAACTAGTGGCATAGGTTTAAGATGAGAGGGAAAAAACTTTAGAGGTGACGTGCAAGGTAAACGTTTTACACAGATGGTGGTAGGTGTCTGGAACGCGCTGCTGGGGAGGTGGTAGAAGTGGATATGAAAGCAATGTTTAAAAGAGATGTAGACAGATACATGAACAGGCATATCGAAGTATACGGACCTTGTGCATCCCAGGCAGATGCGATTAGTTTAGATTGGCATCCTGCTTAGCACAAAGATAGTGGGCCAAAGGGCCTTTTCCTGTGCCTACCTGTTCTTATGTTCTATGAACTGCCTCCAGCACAAGTATATCCTTCCTTAACTATGGAAACCAGAACTGAACAGAGATTTTAGATGCAGTTCTCACCAAAGCCATAAACAATCACTTTGTAAAATGTACAAGCCATTTTCCTTCCTAATTGCTTGCTGTACCTGTATACTAACTCTTTGTATGCCTTGAATGAGTGCAATTAACTTTCTCTGAACATCAATTTTTAGAAGTTTCATGTCTTTTAACAATATTCTAATTCCCTATTCTTACAAGCAAAGTAAATAACCTCACACTTCCTTACATAACATTCTATCTACCATCTTGTTGCTCACCCCCATAACCTGTTTATGTCTATTTAAAGACTTAGAGACCTCTTCATAACTTATATTTCCACTTAGCTTTATATAATCCGCAAACTTTAATATATTATTCTCTGTCTCTTTATCTATCTTGTTCATATAGTTTGTAAATAGCATAGGCCTCAGTTCTGCCATGGTTGCATTGCACTAATCACAGCTGTGCCAACTGAAAATGATGCATTCATGCATGCTATTTGCTTCCTGTTCATTAACCAATTGTCTTATCCATTAAATCCACAAGATCTTATCTTGCCAATTAATCTTTCGTGTGCTGCCTTATCAAATGCCTTTTGGAAATCCTAGCATACTACATCTACTAGTTCTGCTTTATCTACCTTACTAGTTACATATTCAAAGAACTCTGAAAATGTAATCAAACATGATTTCGCAATTGTGAAACTGGTTAACTTTGATCATACTATGATTTTCTAAGTATATTGTTCAGACTTTTTTAATAGCAGATTCCAGTACTGTCCTAATGACTGTCAGTCTAAGTGCAGTTCCCTTGTTTTTATTTCTCTCCTTTTGTGAATAGATGTGTTACATTTGCTAACTTACTATTTGCTGGATTCATTCCAGAATCTAAGAAATTTGGAAATCACAGCCAGAGATTCTACTATCCACTAGATCTGCAGTTTTCTCTCTTTTAGAATTCGAGAATGTCAGCCATCAGGCCCTGGCCATTTGTTGGTTTGGAATCCGATTAGTTTCTCTACTAGTTTTTCTCTTCTGATAACGCTTTCCTTAATTTTCTCCTTTTCATGGCCTAAGCTTCTATTATTTCTATTCGACATCTTCTTCTACACAAAATATTTGTTCAATGTCTTTGTCATTTACTCATTTCACATAATAATTTCTCCTATCTCTTTGTCTGAGAGACCAGCATTTACTTTGGCTACTCACATCCTTTTTGTACACTTGTAAATGTTCCTAGAATCAATCCTAGCAATGTACTTTTGTATTATTTAAACCAATTTTTGGTCTGGAATTGTGGTAATGTAAAAGATGTGATGTATTCATATGTGGGAACTCATTCTTTGTGAACAAAAGGTTCCAGTTTTGTACCCTCTTTAAATTACACAGAGCCTCGGAAGCCTGCAGTTCCCTGTTGCTTTCTCCATGCAATGCCAACCAATGAAGACTCTTTTTCTGCAGTATAAACTGTTCTTATCATTTGAAATTTGGCATTCTTGCACAGATTGAGAGCTAGGATTATATGTATTCCTTTACAATTATTTTTACCACTTAGTTCGGCCTCTCCAGTGGACTTGACCGTTAGTAATCTTTACGATAACATTGAGACAATTGAACATACCAGTACAGTTTTTACATAATTATTCAAGTCGGATCAGATTAATGAAATATTCAGATGGCCTTAATACATATTTTGTATTTTAAGAAAGTTTGGATATCGCAAAGGACAAAGAAAGCTAAACATTCATGGAGAAACAGATATTCGTGCATTCCTGCCGTTAAATGTTGTCGTAGGAAATTTAAATGTGCCTCTCTGCCTTAATAACTGTGAATTCTTCAGCAATTTGTGCATTCCTGAAAGTTAAACAGGGTGACAAGCAAAGTGATCTCTTGCCTTTTAAGGGAAAACAACACAAACACTGGGAGCTATTTTCATTTACTTCCTGCATTAATATCTCTCTTCCTCAAGAAGTTATTTGCATTTTTGAGCACTTCAGCTATGTTCTTGTTTGCTATACTAAAGGTTTGTTTACTCCATTGACGCAAGTCTGGAGGGGGAGCAGTTCTCATGAACTAAACAGTCAATTATAACATCATTGCAATGGACAGCATGGATCAGTTCACCAACATCAAGTACTAGCTACAGGAGGAGTATTATCGTCAGCGAATCTCCACTAGATTTTTGCCATTCATCCAGCTCTTAGACATCAAGTCAGAAATGACCAATGGAACTTATTTGTGTGGAAGAGCTAGTGAAAAAGATAATTTCAAAAATAACTGTAGCTCCATAATATTTTTATTTGTTTGCTTGCAGAACTTTAGACAAATGGTGCCACTATTCGGTGTTTTCAGATTAGCTTTTATTCTGATCATAGGTAAGCATACTTTAAATTTTGTTTTACAGTTTTATAATTCTCTCCTTTCTAATTTCCTCTATTTTATCATCATATAGAAGTCATGATGTGGGACAAAGGGGAATTTCTGATTTTAGAGGTGTATTTAACAAATGCTCTATGGAGACAATATTGGGGATAAACTACTTTGGAGCTTTTAGTAACATTGCACAATTATCATTGTCTTGAATGGGAGGAGATTCACTGAGTTTTGGCCTCGGGTTTTGCTGAGTCAGGACAGTATTAAGTTAACATGCTTTTAACAATGATGGGTGGCTCCTGATTTCAGGGCTCTGAACCACATTCTGGTATGTCCTTATTTTTACCAGTACCTTTTAAGTATTTTGACTGGATTGGGTGGCATGCTCACATCCTGCAGTTGTGACTTGACTGGTTCCATTGCCGAGATAGACACGTCTTCTTCTCTGCAATTGTCAAGGAATTAGTCTAATTTTTTAAAAAAATACTTGTAGTTTGGGACACCTCAGAGATGTTGTGAACCATAGTCTGCATTAGGGAACCTTTTGAAAGGTTAAAATCACTATGCCAACCCGTGGCACATTAACCCACTAACCCACATGCCTATTGACCTAGTATCGATTGTAAAGAACCAATTAATCCTACAGTGACGATAAGAAGTATTAAATAGAAAATTTTAAAAATCCGTCAGTCATTCATTCATTCATAAGTTTTCACCATTCTAAAAAAACTTACTTTACTACTGGGCTAGAAAAGAAACAATCCTGTTGACCCTTCAAGTCTCATTAGCAGAAATAGTAAGCATTTGAAACTTGTAATCTTGTGTAAATAGTGTGCAATTGATAGCAGAGATTAGAGAGCCAAAGTTGTCAGTTCAGTAATACTCTTCTTGATGCCAGGCTGTTATAACAAATTAATGGATTCTCAGGAACTTGCACCATCTGGCAGCCCATGTGACTATTTCTGCTCTCTTTCCTGGGTCAGCAGGACCAACTCCAGTCTTCAACTGGACCCCAGCAAGGAAGATCCTACATTTCCAGGACATTCCTCCTGATATAGGAGCACACAGTTCAGAAATGTTCCTTTTACTTTTAGGTGTGAAGATAAAAATCCAGACCAATATCAAATTGGGAATACCAAATAAAATGTTCTTACTCATGAACAAATAAGTAGCATTCACTTTTAATAACATAATCTCCCATTGCATGTAATTTCATTGATATGTTGTTTAATTAAAGAGTTTGAAGTAGACAATTCCATGCACGTGACTTGGACAGTTCACTTAAGTCCTTCTGTCATGAGGGATTTCAACCCATGCTTCTGCATTGACAATGTTTGGGAAATCCTGCCTTTGACATGTTTTAAATTTAGTCTTTTGGTGTCAAACGTCTATATTTTCTGGTTATTCAATTATATAATTTAAATTAATCATTTGAATATACTTATTTGCAGTGGGTACTGATATGGGGTTTGCCTTATACAGAAGGTTCCTTGTTGGAGGAGATGGTTTGCGTGTAAGTATTCCAGATGTCTGTCTCAACCTCTCACTACTGAGACATTCTTGCACATAACCTTTAATATGATAACCTACTAAATTAACAAAGTTGAATCAGAGATAGTAGGAACTGCAGATGCTGGAGAATCTGAGACAACAAGGTGCAGGGCTGGATGAACACAGCAGGCCAAGCAGCATCATAGGAGCAGAGAGGCTGATGTTTCGGGCCTAGACCCTTCATCAGAAAAGGGGGAGAGGAAGGGGGTTCTGAAATAAATAGGGAGAGAGTGGGAGGCGGATAGAAGATGGATAGAGGAGAGGATAGGTGGAGAGGAAACAAACAGGTCGAAGAGGCGGGGATGGAGCCAGTAAAGGTGAGTGTAGGTGGGGAGTTAGGAAGGGG